CACAACTCCTGCCTGCTTCATTCAAATATTTAACAGGCTCCAACACTAAAGTTCAGGGTAGGAATGTTCCTGTCTAGAAGAGTTTAAATCTTGCTTGTACGTTCATTGAGGCAGGATCCATGTGTCTGCCTCATGAGCACACAGCACATTGTGAGCACTGACAGACACTTACAAATAAGACCACTAGCTCTCGTCCATTGTACTTAACCGTTTTCTTAAAGGCTGAAAGTTGCTGCAGGGTAAGGTCCAACAGAAAAAGAGACAGTCGGTAGAATGACCATTATGCTAGAATGATGCCCCTGCAGCTTACAATAGCAAGTACAAAGCACTCAATGTTACACAATTTAAAAAGATATATTCCAGTGTTATAAAGAATACTCCCATTATTCCCACACAGCACCTCTCATATATAGTGCACAGCATTTTATTACAGGTTCAAAATGCCCTAAAACTCCACTCCCTGTGGGAACTAATGGGATTCAAGCAAGCATTCTCCTGGGGTGTGTTTTAGGGCGAGCACACAAGCATGTTTAGACTGGGAGCAAAGTGATGAGCCAAGCTATATATAGCAGAATATTGAGATTACAACAACATAGTAGCAAATGCTATAAATGAGATTGGCATTCCATTGCCTAACAGTTTCCACTGTAACCTTCAGAACAGATAGTTGTATGTGACCTGCTGCAAGCAGGTCTAAAACCTCCAAGATCCAGTTGTTTTCTAACTTGTCATTTTGGGTCAGATAGCCTTTTCAATGCAACTTGGACTCACTGAAGCACTCTGTTTTAGGAATGTGGTTTTAGTGTTCCTAACACTCTTAATCAGTAAGTCAGATATGGTCAGACATAAGGGTTAGCTATGTAGTAATTTTAGTTTTCCTAACTGGCTTTACTCAGCTCCCTCATTTATAAAGAGAGACAGACAATTTAAAATTGTCTACACCATATAAATAAGTAGCAGAGGACATAAGAAATGGTAAACAACTCTTTCCTATTTTTTTCCCTTTCAATACAAATATAGGTCAAGGATTTGTCAAGCTGTTTTTGACATACCTTATAAAATGCCTGTTGCCAATTTGCTAAGAAAGGACAGCAAGCTGTCTTTGGTAGGGTTATTTGCACAGACAAAGTTGCATATTGGGCTAAATACCAGCTGTTTGTGTGTTAGAACTGCAGTGGTTAAAGATGACATTTTATAGAGAATATATTAAACAGATTGAAATGAACTCTGGTACCTGGGGGTAATTACTTCCATTTTATTCCATGTGCACTTGGAACACTGCCATAACAATATCACAAAATCAACCAGATCTTGCCTGGCTGGAGCTCTTCAGTATGTACATTCTGCATTCCCCACTAGAAATGGGACTGAAGCACTTTAGGGCATTACGGCAGGGCTTCTGCATGACTGCATTAAGTAAGGCAGAACAGCTCCTGAAATCAAGTTTTTCTTTATAGCCAAGAAAATGGAGCTTACTGTTGAAATATGGTCTTCCTGAGTTTCTGGCTTAGCCCATGGGTTTGATGCCAGAGCAGAGCGCTGGGTCTTAGAAAAGCCAGCCGTCAGGAGCAACTTTGTTTCTGTGCAAGAGGCATCCTTCCACCTTCTCTCGACTTCCAGACTTAACAGAGCATCAGTTTGTGACCTTCTTGGAACCAGTCAGTCAACCAACCTTCATGGGAGGGAGCAAAGGATAGTGATGGTAGCTTCTATGCAAGTAGATGCCCAGCTAGCCCACCCCAACACAGGCCAGGATTTCTATCAAAAGCACAAGGAACAGTACACATCTTTGCACCAGCACAGGTCCCTTACAGACTTGAGAGTTAAGCCATCTATTTCCATCTAGCCTGGTGAGTCACAGCCAAGTTGCAATGCTTGCAGGATCCCCAATACCTTGGGCTAGGTTTTCCCTCCTGAGTGGGAGTAGAGGGGGTTTAATATTTTCCCACAGCATGTTAAGTGGAGAGGGAAACAAAGATCCCATGTGGACTGATGTATAGCCAAGGCTAATTGCAAAGAAAGACGCCCATTCTCCGACGGTGAAAGGACAAGGTGACGGACATGTATGAGCACCCTCTATTATGCATAATTTTCTCATAGCCATCCTGAAACAGCCTTCCCCCCCCCCCCCCATGACTTATTCATTACTCTAAAGTGACTGGATATTCCCCTACAGCAGTAACTGCTGATGTGCCGCTTTAGTTACATGAAGTGGGTGAAGAGTCTTGGGCAACAAGGATTGTTATCCTGTTAGAGCAGAGAACTTCACACCCTCCTTTGCTGGAACATTATACATCACAGTAGTTTTGGTGCAATTGTTGTAAGAGACACATGGGAGCTAGTCATTACTTCCTCAGTAGGAGCACTCTTCCCCAATACAAGTTAGGCAAGGCTGGGAACAAGACGACTGACTGGCTTAGTTTCCACTTTCCTACCCACAAATAAGCTTGATTTTAAGTCTAAAGCATGTGATCAGTTTGATTTTCTGTAGTGTAGCCTCTTTAGGGCTTATGCGGGGGGGGGGGTCGTCGTCTATTCTATTGGAAAATGTATGTGTGACACTTAGTAAAGTCTTGTGTTTAATCTGTTTTATTACCTTTGCAGACTGATTTTTCCTGCCATTTAGAAATCTGCATTTTTATTGCAGAGGAGTTTGAGGAGCAGGTAGTGAAACAGTAACCTTATAGCATGCAGGGTTGTCACATTTACACTGAAAGTACAATTCTAGTGGCTGGATTTGAAGAGTAACCCATTCTATATCAACTACCTTCCAACAGCAGCAATAGATTGTCAGTCTTATGCTGAAAAGTAGTGCATCTCTGGGGCCATACTAGAAACAGGACATTTTGGTCCCTCCTCCTATGCCTAAACACCTGTTGGTAATTTAAAAGCAAGTACTTGCCAGAACTGCATTTAAGAGATTACAAATAATCCCTTTCCATCTACAGACCCTTTCAATTGAGGTTCTCTGGTTTAGGTGCTTGCACTGCAAATTTTCACTATAGCAACATGTTAGGAGCTTTATTCCCTGCAATTGTTTCAGCTCCTTAAAGTATCATAGCTCTTGCTGGAGAAAGCCTAATTTGGATCTTGGCAGGTATCCAAAAACAAATTTTTATAGTTTTAAGTCTTTGTGTTACTAGTTTAGAATCTTACAGGTTTTTGGCACTTGTTTAAAAGCAGAATTCTTCTTTGCATCTCCCTTCCCCCATGAACTACATTAGTTACCTACATTTCATCTGATATTTATGCCAATAGTAAATTAACAGGAACTGTCCCAACCAATACACAGTATGATTATAGCAACTAACTATAGTTTGTTTTCAAGCCTTCTTTCCTTCCTCCCACTGCTTAAGCAAGGTTACAAGCCATGACATCCTACAAGCAGCAATGGTCAATCAATCAATATACCATATGAACCAGGGGTCCCACTCTAAAGCCTTTCTTCACACAAGTAATCCTGATGAAGTCAGTATTATTGCTCTCCTGAGCTAGCCAAGTCACATATGGAACAGGTCTGATGGGACAGCTACAGAAGACATCTTTATATCGTAGTAGTGCATTTCCTTCTATGGGATATCTGATTTTCTTTTTAAAAAATTTAGTTTTAGGATTCAGTGTTTGTGATGGCTTTCACTAAAAAGTGAGATCAAGTTTGTTCACGACCCTAGATTTGGTCTAGTAACAGCTGATAGCAAGACTGCTATACTTCCGTATCTGTTAAAAGGATACTAGCTTAAACTAAAAAGGAATGTAAGAATTATTAGCTTTCATTTAGGATCAATAACTGACAGATTGTTCTCCTGATAGGAAACCCTTTGGTTGTGTAGGAGAAGCTGAGCCTCCATCTGCAGTAGTATGAAGTGTAACACATGCTTCTAGAAGAGTGTATCCAAGTTAACATCTGTTCTAATAGTTTCCTCTTCATGTTCATTAGAGGACAGGTCTCATGGGAGTATATAGGAAATATTTATGTAGAGTTCCTGATGAACAACTGAAGAAATAGGCTTTTTTTTTTTAAAAAAAGCCTATGGCATTTTCCTGTAGGTGGGATATACAAGTTAGAGCAGCAGTTGCACAACAGCAGAGTGCTAAAATAGATTAAGTGGGTGGGGAGGAGGGGACATGGGGAAGAAAGACCTATAGTACTCTTACCAGTGAGGTTGTGAATTTGAGCTTGCCTATACCATTAGCCATCTTAAATGGCCCTTTAGCAGAAGTGCTGCTATTGATGGTTTGAATGCTTAAAGCCAACTGCCTTCAGCCTTCCCACATATGGCTGGCAGTTGCACATGCAGGTGTAGGGTCTTCCTACTCCAACATGCTCCTGGTTTGAAGGAGGCAGTGGTGTGTATTGTGTTCTGTTCTTGAATACTAGAGAGTGTGTAGAAGTGATGGGGAGGCAGAGCTCCAAGATGCACTGAATGACTTGTAGCAGAGGATGTTCTGCTAGTTCTTTTGGTAGCTTCCAGTAGTTGAGTTTCTCCTTCACTTAGTTTACATGGGAAAGACCCATGAAAGACTGCATCACAGTATTAAGCTAGGCTGCCTCTTACAGTACAACTGAAGTACAGTAAAGGACACAAGTCTAGGCTGGGCACTTCTTGAAGCCTGTGACTAAGTTTGTTCCCAAGATGAGAATGGACAAACAAATGCATCTAAAATTTGTATAGCAGAAAGACCAGAGGAATAAGTAGTTTAGGGCACTGTGTTCATAACATAAAAGTTAGTCACATGGGGCTTGCAAGACACACTCTGCAAGGGGTGGAAGAATTGTCAGATACTTGTATTTTCCTCATTCACCCCTCAGCACATCTACAGTAGGAAGGTACAGTATTCTTAGTCCAAAGTGCTCTGGACCCTACTATAGTGCAGGCAATGTAGAGGGGAGGGCAGTGATCAAATGCCTAGTCTAGCTTTGACGGTTGCTAGTTTGGTACCATCACTGTTGGTAGATACAACTCCCCCACCAAAAAAATATCAAGACTACAACCACTGTGTACACCAGTTTTACATTTATAATTGGACTTTTATAATATTCATGATTAGCACAAAGTTCATAACCATAAATTATACATTGTTATCTAATTTCAGTACATAAAACGTTAATGATATATGTATTTGAAGAGTGGCACAAAGTAATACAGCCCTGTTGGCATTCTCAAAGAAAAGTGTGCGGTGGATGCGCCATTTATACTACTACAGCACAGCAAAACCAAGAGTTGCCGAACCCTGTCAGATCAGATGACACTGCCTCTAGTTGCCAGTCAGGGTCAGGAATTGGAGTCAGCCCAACATGGTGGAGCAGAAAACCTTGACTCCAGCATCAGAGTTAATAAAGGTGCAAAACCAGGATTATATCCCTCTCCACTACCTCAAGTATTTCAGCAATATATCCCCTCCCTGATCCTGACACTGCACTCTGAATCACTGTTACCTTAGCATATGCTCATAGTACTTTGGCAGCCCACACACACACACACACACACATTCCTGCTGCGTTCAACTTGGCATACATATAGCTGAGATTTCCTTTTGTACCATTTAATGTCAATGAGTAACATGCTCTCCCCTCTTGTTAAACAAAAAAGGCATCTGGGAAGTTTGCTCGCTCTCTGGTATGATCAGATTTAATTACTGGAAGAGAATAAGTCTCAAACCTACTCCATAAGTACAGAACAGGCTCAATCTGCCCCCCACCCTCCCAAATAACTTTCTGCAAAAAATTTCCCCAATATTCCTCCAACAATTTGCAGAGTACTTTAAGAAATATTTGAAAGCCCATTCTCCTTTTTGCATACAATGTTGCAAATAAAATGGGGGTAGTCAGATTTAAGCAAACTTCTAACAGTCCACCAGTAAGAAGATGCTGAACTCAATTCTGAACATCCATGCTACCTACTTAGTAGCTTCAGCTACAGTACTTTAAAGCTTTAACGACTTGGTGCCAGGTGATTCCCCAGCACAACCACTGCCGGCAATGGGTTTGCAGCAAGGAATATGCACTCCCTCTTCCCCCTGGCCTCAAGCAGTTATTGCTATATTCTGAGTTTTAGATAAATAGTGCCTCAACTTCAGTCAAGAGTCTTGCAACATAATTAACAAAAGCTGCCTTTGAGGTTGAAATGTAACCGGACAATAGCAATAAATAATGGTAACAGGTATCCTCTGGAAATCTCCTCACTGAGTGGGACAGCAAGTATTCAACCAACCGAGGGGTCATCTGTGCCTTTAGGACCATTGTAAACTTCTCCAAGAAGTTAGCGGGACAGGAAGGGAGGAAAAAACAAAAAAACAAAACCAAAAACAGACTGTAGATCTGTCAAAGCTAGTTACATATTGAAACCATAAACAGGCGGCTGGGTGAATCCTGGAGCTGTGTATCCATACTGGAAGTTGGCCTGGGGAGGTACTGCACTGGGGCCTGCTGTTAACATTAGCTGCTGGCCTGGAAAGGGAAGAAGGAATTTGTTTAAACAAAGCTTTGCAAATGCCTGAAATAAAGTGATGAGGTGGTGTTAAACTGCCAGCATTTAGAATGGCTATCTAGCTGGTTAACAAGCATGTTTGTATTTTAATATAAACGATGGGAGAACCTAAACTACACCTTTCAGTCCACCTCCTTCACGGAGGAGAGAGGATACAATGATGTGAACAAAACAGGCTATCTAGCTTTTGCTGCCGGACAGATTTAAGAGCAATTCACAGTATCGAGAGCTGGGTGAAGTTTTGACTAAAAACTCAAGCCCAACCCCCCCCCAAAAAACCTTAATGACACCAAAACATTTCATGAATATGTCCATTTGTTCATTTAGAAAAAGCCTACAAGAATTCCAAAAAAACCCAAAAGTGTTTTGTTTCAACATTTCAGAAGGAAATGTTTAAAAATGGAAAAACCAAAAGTTTCAAAATTTGCTTTTTAAAATAAAATTAAAATGTTTATTCTGATTTTGAGCATTTTTAAAGCATCTTCTTTTGGGTCAAAGTGTTAGACCTGAAAAGAGTTTTGGGTTTTTGAAATTGCCAATGTAATGAAAAATCCACTATCTGCCCACCTCTGACAGGACAAGGTGAGATAGAAAGTGTGGGTGAAAAAGTAGTATTCATTGAGCTTGAGACAGCTACATAGCCTCCCAATAAAACAGATTAATATTGATTCCTTGAAACAATTGATATGGTTAGGATTCATGCATGGTCAACATTTTGACCAAAGCAATTCAAGCTATTGAATTTTCAGCAGCTTGTGTACATGTAATAAATCTACAGATTGCAAATGCATCTTATGAACACCAATAGCACACATGCCTCATGCAGACAATCAACTCGGGGATAACCTTTCCATTGGAGAGTGGACCACAGAGTCATGTATTTCTCTGCCTCAGAGCTGCTACAAGATGTGCTAGTGAGCAGCATCTGCCTGGTCACAAAAATCTATGAAGCAGCCTTCTGCAAAGTCCATTGTGAAAGAGACCTTCCATTTACCTGCTCAACACAAGGTCTTTCTAGGACAGGTCATTAAAAAAATAAATAAAAATCCACTCACTGATTGATTTGTTAAGTGGAAAGGCAGACTTCCAATCTTTGAAAGGTAGCAAGGTATCAGACAGGAAGTACAAGGAGGAATGGGTTTCTTCTGGAAATCCAGAAGAGACTCTGGTAACCCAAAAGCTCCTTCTCCTCCCTTCCCCCACCACTGAAAGACTTGGGATTTAGGATTTGTCTAAGCGAGTGGTACGGTAAAGGAGGAATAAGTCAAGTTGGATTGTTTCAGCTAAAGACTGCTACTCATTCAAATGTTTAAAATTCAAGTGTTGCACAAAACTTTCAAGCATATTAATAAGTATAACCAGTTATACTTATCCGGGATAAGAGCCCCAAGTAGTGATCACTAGCTGGGAGAAGACAAACTGCTTCACTGACTAGAGGTGGAGGATATCCATACTATAGTCAGTCACTTTCCTGTGGCCTATTTAAAGCCCAACATGGGTGAGCCCTAACTGATAATCTTATCTTGCTAGAAATAAATAAAAAATACACCAAGTCTTTCACCTACCAAATACTATTGGAGTGGGTTCAGCTACTTGTTCCTCTTCTTTCCTTAGGCTTTCAGAAGCATCAAGTTTATCCACCTATGTTATAAAGTGAACAGGAGAAGTGTATGAAGGCCTTGCCTAAGAGTCATGTCCTCTTGATGGTATGTCTCATACCAAATGCTTCAAGTATTTAAGTGTTGCCCTTGCAAGTCTGATTTTGAAGCCATAGAACATACTTGTGTGTTCCAAGTTGTCCAAAACCCAAAAGGAGAGGGGAGACTAATTCTGAAATAAGCATCAATTTTTGCTTAGCTGGATACAAAGAGATCCACTACCTGAAATACAAGTGTAATACTTGCACTTGCTCTCCATCCATTGGAAACATCATGTCCTGCAACACAAGCTGCCAATTTCCATTTCAGAGCTTCAGGGTCAAGTCTGCATGAAGAACTGTTTGGCAGACAGCTACTACCTAACCACATCTTCAATAAGAAATTCTGAAAACACATGCCTACAGTATGTTTGACTCTGGAAACCATACATACCAGACAGCATGAAACATGGTTTGACTAATAATCAATGTAAAGTGAATAGATCTAAAACAGCAAATAGTAAGCTCTGTTCACTTGTACTGGCACACCAGATAAGGTCAGCTAACTTTTAGTAATAGGCTACAGAGCCAGTACTATAGGTATATTGCTTTAAAATATTTTCACTTTAATTTAGAGGTAGTAAGAGTTTATTTTCTACTAGATAGTAATGCAAGCTCTTGGGACTTCAACGGGAAGACAGTTTGAGGAGGTCCTATAGGGGGAATTGGCTGAAGCTAAGGGTATAGCTCAAATTATTTATTTTGCTCTATACACACCTAGTTTAGTCTGATATCTTAGGCCTGGTCTACACTTGGGGGGGGGGGGGGGGGAGGGAGGGAAAGACTGCCACTGCTCCCCCGTCGACTCCACTTCCGCCTCTTGCTGCAGTGGAGTATAGGAGGAGTCGATGGCAGAGCGATCAGGGATCGATTTATCACGTCTACACTAGATGTGATAAATCGGTCCCTGATAGATCGATCACTACCTGCCGATCTGGTGGGTAGTGTAGACGCACCCTTAGACAGCCACTACTTATCACCACAATACAACTGCTAGCACTAAAATCCCTAGCTATGAATTAAATGGCCTGGTCAGTTAGCACCCATGCCCCCCCCAAAATTTGATACCTACTGAAGTATCACACCTTCAAAGTTTCCAACTCTCTGGACTGAAAAAGGACCTTTGTTAAATAAGATAGAGGCTTACAACTTTAGTGAAGTCCATAGCGTAACTAACATCTATCCAAAAATAGGGGATACTACTCCCTCTAGAGGGAAGCAGCAACAGTGTTCAGCCCACATGACAGGAAGTACAGAACATATCAAATTTAAGTAAAGGAAGCCCATTTTCAAATTCCACAGACTAAATTAGTTTCACTGCACATCAGACTCATCATGCATATTTCACTTTAGGAAAAAAAATTATAGTATTTAGTAGATAATTGTCACCTGTAAATCCAGCCAGCAGTTTAAAGTTAGTATCTAAGCCTCATTTTTTATTTGAGAAATCCACTGCCCCACTCTTTTATATGCAAGTGGCTTAGACTTAGATTTCTTTGAAGCTACTGTATTGTGCTGAAATTCTGAAGATTCTACATACAAGATCAGTCCAAAGCAGTTTCTGAGCATGCAGACAAGAGTGTCTGCTGGGAAGCTTTATCTTGCCAAGTCAGGGGCCATCACTTCTCCAAAAATGTCATACTACTTTGTACGTAAGCTGCTAGACTTGTTTACATGTAGACTGTGGGTAAGACAGAACACTTGGGAATATCAGTTATCTAGAGATTTCCTCCCTCTTCACAACTGATCCTGCGACCTTGTGGTTTACTATGCTGCAAGGTTCTGATAATGGGCTATCTGCTACAAAAAAAAGAATAAGTAGTACATCAGACAGGAGTTAAGGATGATGGACTCAAGGCAAAAAATGCAGTTATTTCTTTTTTGAATCATTAGCCCAAATGCTTGTTAACAGTGTTCTTCAGTGAATAGTTTTCCCCAGCTGAAAGTGAGCTAAGTCTGGCTGGATTCTCAAGTTGCGTGTAAGAAGCTGTCTTTCTACAGCATTAGAAGTTAATAGGAAACAGAGTTAGACAAAAAGCTAGATTATGCTGCTCTTCTGGCGGAAGCTACAGCTAGGTTCTAGTAACAGAATCCTAGGAGATATATATTAAGGGACACAAATGAACACAAAGTTTAAAATCAGAGACTGTCACCTTATTAAACAGCCCATCAACCTGCAAGAAAGTTCAGAAGGGAATACTTATCAAGTGACTATTCAAAAAACAAATCTGAAGCAAAAAACCATATCTAAACATTGGGACAATAAAGGCAAGAGTATTTAGTGCTAAGAAAATCATTTGGTCACTATTTTACAGTGCACAAGTTAGGTCTAATCATGTACATTACAGCTTACTTAGACTTGCAGACACCCAATTATTTTGGCAGATTACTTGGTAATTAAACAGCATATACAGATTTACCATATATAACCTGCTATGGTTTAAGACATGCCATTTACATGATAAATGCAACTCCTCCACCAGTACATAGTATTTGCCATGTACTTAAATCATGAATTTCTATGCGTGGACAGTATTTGCATATTTGTGCACTGTAAAGTAAATCGTTACCCATGTTAAGGAGGTAGAAAAGTGACTTCCACCTTGTTGTGACTGATCTGGAGGCATGCATCTCCTCTGCATCTACAGGAAAGTAGCACTTTTCTTCTAGCTTTACATTTGTGATAAGTCAGTTTTGTTTGATGCTGTGGGATTTAGCAGCTCCAGATTCGCAGACAGATGGTTAAAACGACTATGGGCAAGATCCCCCCACAGCTTGTGTAAGTCAGCATAGCTCTATTGAAGTGGTGCAACTATGAGTTACATCAGCTGAGGATCTTACCCGAAGGAGATGACACGAATGCAACTTCAGGCTTTAACAGTAGCTCCTTCCCCCTCCTGACATTGGTCACACAAACATGACCTGAACTACTGAATGTCTCAGTAAATACGGATGCTACAATTTCAGCAAAACGCAGAAAGCTTAAAAGATTAGCAATGAAACATTTAAAATAGGAATCCACTGTGTATATATTAGCCTGACAAAGGTTCTGTAGTCCCATAGGTCTACAACTATGGAGTCTATGCATATGTATTCCCATAGCTGCTGATGTGGGAGGGCTTCAGAAGGCTAGCTGCTTCACAAAGTACTACCCCCCACTATTCCCATGAAGAGAGCTAGTTATGTCTCAGGCAAGATGACTGTGGCCTCCTAAAATTAAATTGGTAAAAGGCAGAGGAATGGTAAGAGACATCACATCTTGAAAGCTCGTGGGCCCAAGTTTTAGAGAAAAAAGTAGTTTTTATGTATAAACTGGAAGGCAAAAAGCATGACAGTTACCTAAGGAGTCAAATGGTTAGAGTACCATAGAGAAATAGACCACCCTTGTATTTAAGAAAGCAGCATGCACAGTATTAGCCTTTTGCTTGGAGTCTAGATTCACCAGTTCCCAGAAGAACAGATACCAGCTAGAGAAACAGTTCAGTCTTTTCTTTTCATCAATTAACAGTTATAGCCTCTAAGCATCAGGTTTAATTGTGATTGGTTCATTGTTATGTATGTAGCATGTTCACTGAGGTGTGCTGAAGTTTATGTACCTTCACCTCAAACTGGTATTTCTGGAACAGAGGTTCAGTATCTCAACAATCCATGAGCACGGTCTTACCTAGCTCAGTTTGGACAATGCTAAACATGTGCAAGAATCTAGTACAAAGTAGCGAGTCTTTCAACAGAAGCAATACTCACTTTGGTAAGGTATTCCCTCATCACCTGGATGAAATAAGGCATTGCAAAGTCCATGATGTTATGCCTCCATGCCAGCTCAAGGACCACATCTGGGTGCAGCAAGTCATAGCATGCAAAGAGAGATGCTGCAAAACACTCCTGTTTGCCTTCCTCCAGGAACCACTGGAGCAGTTTCTCTGCCAGTTCTGCATCTTTGGACTCCGCAGCATACTGCATGGCATCCTACAAGTGAAATGCCATATACTTTAAGAGTTACCACCTGGCCCCTTCAAACTATTTATTTTTCCCCCCTTAGTGAATTCTGCAGACAGGTTTCCCCCAAGTGAGGTAGTCTGGCTGATCCTAAGGCAGGAGAACACCAAATGCTGCCAAGCCAAATGTAATTGGTTTCCAAGTGGGTATTTTTAAATTGAGGCCACTGGTTCCATGCACTAGTGGTCATAACGCCGGCAGTAATTATCTATCATCAACTTATGTCAGTTACACTAAAGCAGTGGCTCAACTTCTCCAGACTACTGTACTCCTTTCAGGAGGCTATTTTGTGAAACATGAGGGTATGCAAGACTTCACTTAAGTACTTGCTTACAAAACAACCAAACACACCCACCCACAAATACACAAGTGTCACAGCACACTATTACTGAAAAATTGCTCACTTTCATTTTTATCATAAAAATGATTGGAATATATATTGAACTTATTTTTCAGGGTATAGTATATAGAGCAGCATAAACAAGTCATTTTCTGTATGAAGTTTTAGTTTGTACCGACTTGTCTAGTGCTTTTTATGTAGCCTGTTGCAAAAAGAGGCAAAAATATCTGCATACTCCCAGGGTTACATGTATCCCTGGTTGAGAACCACTGAACTAAAGCATTTACAGGAGAAGCCAAGAATGGACAGCACAGCTTCTGCACGTATTCCATGACTATACAAAAGCATTAGAGTGTCATGGAGATACTCTATTCTACCTAGAATAGGATCATAGAATTCGCTTATAGATTAGCTAAAGAGTTATTGTCTATCAGTATCCATTTTAAAATCAGATTTGGTTTGTCAACTTGACCTTTCAGTTAATGGGATTTATAACAATAAAATACCAGTTGCTGGTATTAAAGGAAGCCAGTCAGATGAGATTAAGAGAAACTTCCTCCAAGAACTACAAATCAAGTCTCTGTCCAAAACAGATGGTGTTTGGGTGGAGTAAAAGTGTTTTAAAAAAAGCAGTAAGCCTCAGTTTCTAGCATCTCACTGCAGCCCCTGTACTGACGTTTTAAAATAGGGATGACTCCAATATGCAAAAATCACTAATATCAGTGAGTCTTCAACACAAAACCAGAAGTGCCTTAGGCTAGTCTATCATTAGAGTTGATAGGTTTACAGGGTCTTCAAGTGCCTCCTTCTAGAATGTTTTGCCCCAAAGAAGTTGGCAAAGGCATAACCATTAGTTCCACCTTTGGTTCAAGTATCAGAAGACAAAGCTGTCTCATACACAAGTCTGAACACAAACTAGTGTTTTTTGCTTAAGATATTATATATAGTGCTTGTGTTGTACCTCCACTGAGTATATAGCTATCCACATCACATACTGTTTTGCACTTAAGTTTTAATGGAGGCTAGAGCCTCAGTAATGGCACATTGATTCGGCTGCATCAGGGCTCCACATCTTAAGTATGATACAATGCACCTTCAATCTTTTTTTTTTAAAACCACAGAAAGTGAGACCTACTCCTGCCAAGTGAGCATCCTAATTAGCACTAGTTTGTTATAAGACAACCTATTGGGGGGGAGGGAAGGGAGGAGAGAAGATACATGTGAAAAGGAATTTACTTTTAATGTCATTGTCTTAGATTAGTTCTAATCCTACATTTGTAGCAGGTTTTGTGAAGGCAGGTGCAATCCACGCTGCAGTGACAGCGCAGAAAGCTCACTGCAGCTTGTTTTGGAGATGTCTTAGAAATGCCTCTTCCATACCATTAAAAAAGGAAAAGTTCAATGTTAACTGACCTTGTAGAGACGATCCTTCTTGCAGAGCTCCACACTCTGTTTCCAACGATTATTACCTTTGTACAAGTAGGCTGCAATACGCCTAAATTCAATCAATTCATGTTTCTCCAAGCGCTGAGCTAGTGTGATGTTATCAAAGTTATCATATGCATCAATAGATGCTCTCAAGCCCTATTTAGAGAAAAATTCTGTTAGCTATCAGAACAGCAAATAAGTTTCTAAACGCCACTGGAGAAACAAGGCTCTAGAGAAGTATGGCTAGCATGAATTAATTTTGGTTTTGGAGGCTGCCAATTCTAGGTTACTGCAGTATGGACTTGGCTGCTTTCTAGCTGCTCTGATTAGAAAATTCAGAAGAGAGGTGTTTGCTCCAAAGAAGCCAGTCCCCCACACTTAAAGCCATGATGCTGACTTTGCCTATAGAGGGATTGCTGAAGTACAGAAACATTGATATAAGTGCTAAGTGTCCCATTAGCAGTGGACAAGTTATGCAAACTTGAAGTAACTGGTCTGTTTGCCTTCCTAGTCCACTTAAAACAGAAGCCTGCAACCTCTTACATACAAGGCATTTTATTTTTAAAGAGATCCCCATACAGCGGCACATATAGCGTGCCAAGATATAATGACTCTGTATTCTAATACAGGCTAGAGAAATAACTTTAGAAGGAATCTGCTATTTATGTGCGGGGTGCTTTAGGGTATTTCTACCTATCACTACTTTATCCTGACCTTTGAAATCTTTGGTCATAGCTGCTATTCCTCCAGAAGAGGTAGACTTATCCCCACCCCACCCTACCTTTACATTCCACCCAATACTTTTCAGTCAATTTGAGACCAAGTGAATAATTCTTACAATGCATGAAGCATGGCTGATTAACAAATAGCAGGCATATGAAGTGAAGGGAGAGTGCATTTGCACACCAGTGTGCAAATGCAAGTGTGTCTGCTCTACTCAGATGCTGTAGGCCTGCTGTAACTCAACTGTATGGGAGACTCACCTGATAATCCTCCTCCTCTGTCAGGAGATTGTTTAGAGCCTCATTGACTCCTTTGTTGTTGTGGTTCTGGACTGAACGCAGGTAAGGCTTAACTAGAGGCAGCTGATTAACCTGGAAGCAAAACAGCAGTAAGGACATGTTAGATTAAGAGTACTGCTTTGAAGGAAATTAAATACTCTAGAGAAGCAGGCTCTCCAGTTTAGCACTAGAGACTTATTTTTAAGCCAGCCCAAGAAAGTCTATTATAGCTGCCAGCAGCTCAGATATTTAGGAAAAATTTATCCTTTAATTGCTGGCACGAAAGAGCTAGACAGTCAGGATTTAAGTTTACAGAAGTATTTGGACCTATTTCCCATCACCATATGCTGGGACTGTGGAACAGCCCTATTCCAAGTGATTTGATGAGCACTAGCAGCATGCTTGCTACTGCAAGAGGCAGAGATCTTCTAGACCCCAAAGGCTTCATCTCAGAGGGCAAGGACAAGAATGCACTAAAAAATCCTTAGGAACAGAGTTTAGTGTCTATACCTGATCCATTTATAATGACTATAGCTCACCTTTGAGAAAAAGCTGACTGTCCTGGTATGATCCAGCCGTGGAGATAATACCAGCAGAAGATCATTGATCAACAGAGGTTTGTAGTCCAAATAGAACTGCAGGGCTTTGTAATACAGCTCCACATTGGCCACCTGGATAAAGGAAACACTGATTAGATCAAAGGCTGCCTCTGCATCTGAAAGTTTAACTATGTTGCAGGGAAAGTGAAGTATAATACCAGATTAAAAAAATAAAAATAAAGTGTCAACTCTGCAAAAGTCTAAATGTCAGATATCTGAGTGCTGGCCATGTACACAGCTGCAATTTGAAATTAAATTTCTCACTTAGATGGCTAGCACTTGTCAGCTTCCTGCTCTGCCTGATTCCAGGAATCTATACAAGATTCAGATCCCAACCTGACTGTACAAAACATTTTACTAGCACAGCTACAGCCTTGAGTTAAGAGGGCGGTGGGGGTGGGAGGGAAGGAGAGAGAAGAGAAGTTTGGCTCAGGAAGCCCAGAAGAAGAGAGTTCAGCAGCTTCCTGTTTATTATTTCAGGAGTTTGTTGAACAGGTACTTGAACCTTGTAGCTGTAAGATTAAAGCTCTATCACTTCAATTTTTGCTTTGTAGTAAAAATTTTCCACAAAAAGCTACCTGGGTCCAGTAATTAGATCACAGCTATTTACCTTAGCAATTATGTCTTTGAACTGCCCTTCTTTCCAGGCATCAGTGGGATGGTTCATCATTGTAATTATTGCATTGTCATACTCTTCATACTTGTCATAAAGGAAGACCAGTTCTCCCCAGAGGTGAGCTTGTTCTGCAGCTCTGAGCACCTAGGGATAGGAAAAGGATAATATTAGGAATTGCATGTTGCTCAACACTTGCCTAGCTGTGTAACAGTTTAATGCAGCAAGATACCTACCTTTGGAATGTTGACTCTGGACCAGAAGAGCTCCAGATGTTCCCTCATCTTCTGAGGTTTGAATTTGGAGTACAAGATAGCCAGTTCTGTGAACATTCCCATGTGAGCACGCTCCAGGCCCAAAGCAGCTTCCAAGAGGGCAATCAGTTCTTCAAAGTAGCCACGATCCTAAGATGAAGATTGGCCACGGTTACTGATTGAAAAGGGATGATGTTCAAAGTTCCCTTTGCAGCATAGTAGGGAAAAACAGTGATTTGAAGTTTCAAGTCTGAGACAGGGGTTTCAAGGTTGAGGTTTCTGAGAAGTACTGGCCCTTTTACTTACTCCATTGCACGGTGAAGATGGGTCTCCAGTTTAAACACAGCTCCTTGTTTAAAATGAACTTGTTTCACTAGTGGTTTAAAAAAAAAATCCTCAAAGGGATGTGTTAAAGTTCCAGGAACGCCAACTGTTACCATGGCACTGAAGGGTAGCGTAGTTGCTGCCATCTCAGATTTTAAGGATCACTATTAACAAATCCTGCAAACAGGGAGCAGCCAATTATTCCCTTAGATCATTAAAACAATCTAACCTGATAATAGCTAATCAGCTCTTCGAGTTCATCTGCATGGATTACTATGTGCAAGCCGCATATCTGTGCAAGGCGGAACTCCTTTCCATCCACACAGGCAAAGCACACCTGTAACAAAAGAACATTTTAGTCAAACTGATGTTAGACACCCAGACTAGTACACCACACATTACCCAAAATGAATTGGATAACTGCAAGGCTAAAAAAGTTCCTTCTATACATTAGATCGAAGACACTACCAGATGTAGGACAAATAATCAAGGCGCTTGGAAGTATAGACTGGAAGCAGTATCCTCATGCTCCCTTAGGAGTAAGACTTATCTCATTTAAGACAAAGGTTCTAAAACGGCCATTGAGGCTTTGACTTCCAAAGTGTGGACCATATCTTGTATATATTACTCTTTTGAAACCTCATCTCCTATTCATGACTGCATAACATAGCAACTAAGAAATTGCTCATATGGAAGAATACTATTAAGGAAGCATGTTTGTGTATCTTGATATGATCTAGTAGCTGGAAGCATGGCAAGCCAGCATTACATGACCAGCAAGTGCTCTGAAGACTAGTAGTCCAGATTTGTTTAGGAATAAGAGACCATTTCAAGCTAATATGAATCTGACACCTGGGAGAAGGAGCACATATTTTCTATAAGCAGCACCACATACGAAAAGGGATTCTTCAGACTGGGTTGACAGTGTTAAAGATGAGGCAAGATGAACTACCTCCTTCCAGGTCCTGGTGCTGTTGGCTTTGCGGCCACTGTCTACTGCTGCCTGGTACTCTCCAAGATGCACCAAGGTAGATGCCAGGCGGGCAAAGTTAGATACATTGTTGTAGAGCAGCTTTGCTGCATCATACATTCCCTCCTCATAGCAGCGATCTCCAACCTAGAGAGAAAACCAGGATAAACTGAGTTGGACTGATGGGGGCAGGAAAGGATAATGAGCAAACTTTGAAAGCTTGTCCTGTTTTCTTTGAGAGTGTCAGGAAATTTCTGACCTGACAAGGCTATTTGTAAAGGCCTTCCTATTTTATTAGGAACATAAAAGACATACCTGCTGAATGTGGGCATTGTTAGGGCCACTCACAAACTCTTCCAGCTCTGAGAGGCGGTTGGTTTTTGCCAAAGCAAAGATAAGTTCCGTCTCTACATAGGACTCTCTGGCCTTTTTTCTGGCCATTTGCAAGAATTTAACCAGATCCTCCCAGTTACCTTAAATAAACAGAAGAAAAACAAAAAAAGTTTCCTATTCCACTCCTTTCATTCTGAATTATTTCCCATTGTCTAAACTATGTTCAAGAGAACAGTCAGTTAATGAGCTGCTCTACAGAAACTGACACACTGAAGAGCCATACTGCCCCGCTGGGACTAGCTGACCCCACATCCAAACAAAATGCGCTAGGTACCATTCCTTGAGTGATCAACTCTTAACATCCATACATCTCTTCTGGATCATGATTACTCAAGAATGAGTTGTGTGCTGTTAGTATTTATAGTTCTAATTTTATGTAGAGATTTGAGAATTTAAGTCAGTGAAAGCACTTTAAAATGGATCCCATGCTGAAACACTGGAACTGAAGACTTCATATATTAGTCATTGCAGACACTAATCAGTATTGTTCTATATATTCGCTTTGAACTCCTTTGTTAATCTGGCTCAGTCTTCTTGTGTTCTCATTAACAAGACATGCTTAACTACAGAACGGATGAGGACTTAGCTTACTGTTTCTACTAGCTGCTTGAACAACTTCCATGTAAGCAGAGGGATCATCAGCCTTGATATAGGAATCAATGGCTTCCTTCACCAAGTCCTTCTGGAGCTGTGCTCTAGCCAGTTGGCTCCATACAGCTGGTTCATTACATCTCTCTGCAAATTCATAGGCACGGTCCAGGTTGCCAATGTGCTCTATCAGCACCTATGATATTAAAGGTAACATTTTTCAAGTGTGACATTCTAGTCCTTTAATTTTCAAATGCCTAGAGCTCTTCCCCATACCAGAGGAAGAGCAGCAAAAGTACCCCATAGTGATATGAAAGCATGCAACCACATATTCTGGATTTAAAGCAGCCCTTTCAAACTCATCTATAAATGGTTGTGTTTCAGGGTGGGAATGTCTTCCTCTTACTAAGAGGAACAATCTCCTTGGGGCAAAAAGGCAACATTGACGGGTGTTAATTTAACTCATGTAAACTCCCAAGAGATTGGTGTCTGAATTACTTCATTTGGATGCTGAACAATTATGTTACCTACATTCAGATTCAGGATTTGTCTTCCCTTCTGCCCCATTCCCAACTTTCAAGTGCTTGAAAAGAAGCTTTTTCCACAGAATATTTATAACATTGTATTGGTGGTAGGCTGACTAGTTTTATCTACATGTACAGTATGACTTTTCTAGAAAAAAAGTCAACCGGCCACCCTTGAGTTATTTACCTGTTTTTTCTACCTGTTCCTATGAACTGTACACCCTTAGGAAACATGAGCTGGTAGCCATGACTGCATCTCACCTGTATTGCAGAAGTATTAACATCAAATTTCCTGAAGATAGCAAAGGCTTCTTCATATAGCTCATTACTGATGGCTATGTTGGCAATATCTGGGGCATCATAGTTATCCAGACGATTGATATACTCCATTACACGAGTGCGGTCAGCTTTAATGGCAGTCAGGATCAGAAGATTCTGCAGGTTCCTGTAAATGGGATAAGCAGGACAAAAATGGTCTATAAAAAAGGAGGTATTAGGTGCTACCCACTATTTGACCTAAAAATGCCACCATCAGGCAGTGAAGTCCAAAATTAAGGTTTTAAAATGAGTTTTATAGAAGTCTAGTAGATTCGATGGCTTTAGACAGTCTCCTGAAATAGCAAACTGACTAGCCCATTTTTATAGCCAAAATGGAGAGAAGTACAAGATTTAGTTACTTGTTACACTATCAATTCCCTTTCTAATAAAAGGAGTCCGCATTCCTTTGTATTAGTACACTGGCTGCACTACTTCCGTTGTATTCAAAAGTTAAAGTTAAATTAAAATCCTTGAATACCACCATTTAATCACTTCAGTGGCTGCTCACCTTCTCTAGTACACATCACCGAATGCTGCTAGATCAAATTTTGCGTAGCCAAAAAAGAGGATATCCATTTAAAGACTGTATAGAGTGCAGAGCAGTCAGGTATTTCAGAAGTTTAGGGGACAACCTAAAACATCACAAAACACTTCTACTTTTCTTCCAACAGAAGGGGTATCACCTTCCACCTACCTATGCTCGCTGAACACAGAGTTGTCCAAGACTATCTTCTCAAGAAGCTCAATTAGTTCATTGGGCAGATCAGCAGTCATGAAAGCTTTCACAGTAACAGAAACCTCTTCAGGATCCTGCGTTTCAGATAAGGCCGTCTGGACAACCTAATTTTGAAAACATTTGGAAGGAGCAGTTGAAAGGGCTTTTCCTAGTCTTAATTTAGATTCATAAACAAGGGGTTATCAGCCCACTGAGGTAGGACACACATTAAATCAGGAATCTCACAATCAAGCTGAACAAACACTGCAACTTCTTGTTAGAGGATTCTGGCTACCAAAGATTCTTTTCAATCAGTCATGTAGATGGCTTTGAAATATTGATTCACCAGTATTAGTGTGTGATACTGGGCATTTCACAGCCATTTAATAAAGCATACCACTGCACTAGCCTTACAGTATGAGCAGGCTCCCTTAGTTTTAACTATCCCAGATAAGATTCAATTACTTTTACAGATAGCATTGCATTAAAGAGACCAGACAAGTGCTAGTTATACTGGCCCCTGTCCGTGATGAAACAATCTGGACACTATAGAATACGGCGGGCAAAATACGGCCTGCCTAACATTTGTCTGGTCAAGAGATAGCAGCCAAAGTCCTGTGGCACAGCGAGGTGCTCCTGGCTGGCATGTCTCTGCGCACCCCTGGTAAGGGGGCGGGGGGACCACACAGGGGAGGAGGGGGAAGGCAGGTCCATGTGCTGTCCGTCCCCAGCACTGTTCTCACTATGGGGGTGGTGCTTGCAGTTGCAGGCAGCACATGGAGACCCGCTGCCCCCCTCCTCACAAGGGGTATGTAGAGATGTGCTATGGTGCCAGCAGCCAGCTGCTTCTGGGAGTGGTGTGATGATGGGGGAGGGAGAAGAGTCTCGATGTAAGATACGCAACTTCAGCTACAGGAATAGCGTAGCTGAAGTCAGCGCATCTTATTTTGCCTTACCTCCTGTCCTTACAGCGTGGGATCGACGACCGCGGCTCCCCCGTCGACTCCACTACCGCTGCTCACCCTGGTGGAGTTCTGGAGTCGACGGGAGCGCGTTTGGGGATCGATATATTGTGTCTGGACGTACCCCTTGTCTACCTGGGAGCGCTTCTGATCTTCCAGCTGTTCAAGCAGCCCATTCATTCCACAAGCATTCCAGGAGGGAGGGGGAAAGCCACTTCACAGGTATTCAAGGGGGAGTGGGAGAGGTGTAACACACCTTTTGAACATACAGGTTCTACAGAGCACCCAGATCACTGCTGCTCCCACAACAGCCCCCCCCCCCACCCAGCAAAAGTTATTGCCCATCCCTCGGATAGAAGATAAATTAAAGTAAACTGAAGTAGAGGGGGCTGATGGGGGTGTGTGCGAGCAAGGTATTCTGGAGTCATTCTGAAGTCATACGACACTGGATAACAGCTTTCATTTCTATTTGTAGAACCAGTTACTTTACTGTACCTGATCAATGAGCTGTCGCCTGAATGGACTGTTTTCCTCAAGGACATTTGCCCAAAGTTCTGGATCCTTTCTGCGTACCAAATAGCGAGCCTCACTCTTGAACAAGGAGTTCTCATTGCAAACCTGAAAAAAAGAGAAAGCCATGAACACTGAACACATGTATAGTTAAGGGAACACTTACAATGAGATCCCACCCAACACAAGTTTGGCTTTTTGACATTAATAATGAGCCATACTCAATGGACAATAGTTTCTGAATACAACTAGTGGTTGGCCATCACTAAGTGCCACACAGACGCAAGTTTCGATTCTTACCTAGCCTCTAATCTAAAAGGCTCTCAGCAGACAGGATCTCGTGCAAAGTTACAAGCTTTTCTTGCTTTTGCCCAATAGAAATGTTATGACAACTTCTCATGGTAATATTTCTACTGCTGTCAGAAGCCATGAACTACACAGGCTTCTGACAAATTTCAGACCTAGAAGGGGATTCATTTTGGAGTGGAGAAAATTTAGGTCAGTTTTATTTTATCTGAAGCCTTCACTCAGCTTCATTGTCAAGCTGCACCAGAATGTTTCTATTTTGTAAAATCTTTTGAATTTCACAGAATGTTTCCACAACTATAAGCTTCTAAGTAACTGTTTGAGGGCTACAGTTTTACCTAATGGAAACACTGTGCAGAAGCTTATCAATGATACAGCAGAGGAAGTAAATTCTCACAATGGCTTTGTATTTTCCTACTGATTCTAATTGCACAGTTTGAATCTTGTGACTCAATGTAACCTGGTAACATTTTATCAGCACCAGCTTCAATGGACAACAAAGGTATGTTTTGTTTTCCAAGCCATTTTAATAGGAGCCTAGAGTCCAATCCTTCCTTCCATTACTGCTTAAGCCTAGGCTGGGCACCAAGGTTAGCACTTCCTGACTTTATGGAGTGCCTATAACACCAACTGTTAAAATGGTTCTGGGACTGAAGGCTGACCAGAGCTGGTCTCAAATCATGTAAGTGCAGATAGGAGGGGAGGTTGCCAGGCTCTATCAAGAGGATATGTGCACAGTAGTTAAAGGTTACATTTCATTTCTATGCAGTTCTCACAGCAGTGAGCTGCACAGGTAACAGGTGGCCAAATTAAGATTCCCAGTTCACCCTAGGAAAGGGCCTATGCCCAGAGGAGAGCCTTTGATTTTTTCTTTTTTTTTGGTGGGGGGGAGGGAGGAAGAGATCAGTTTCTGTAGTAGAAAATTTGGCTGTTGGAAGACAAAAAGCCCTTTGCAGAGCACCTTGGTTAGGAGAAAGCAAGTGTACCACAGAATTCACAACCCAAGGGAGCATGGAACAATCCAAGAAGGGAGCATGGAATAGTCACAATCCATACCTGTCCACTTTCAAGAGCGGAACCCGGAAAACTGTTTCTAAATAAAAAACTTTTGAGTAAACTACTCTTGATTCAGATATTGAATTAATCTATTAAGACCACCACTTGTGGCTATATTCTCCCTTCCACACTTTAAGACAGCATGTAAAAACTGGACTCAACTGCTACACAGTGGACACAGCCAAGCCTTTCATGCTGAATCATTAAATTGATGCACACCTATAGGAAGGTTAATCCCTTAAGGAACCCCACCACATTCCAGCAGGCAGTGATTCCAGGCTGGGACAGGTTATGGAAGTGTGCACTAGAGGGTGCTCCATATGCTGATACTACTCAGCTGTTTCCACCACAGACTTGGCTTGTGCACTGGAGCAAGTGATCAACTGTTGATGAAGTTGAGTTTGTTGAGGCTTATGTTGACCGGCTGGCAGAAGCAATGGGAAGAGCTGGCAAGGGATACATAGTAGAGGGAGTCCATTCCCATTTGGGACTCTGGAAACCAAGACAATCTATCCAAGACTACTAACACTAGAATGAAATGTGTTCAGGGGCCTTTTCCAATTGCACCTGGTACCTTCTTTTTACTGTGGACCCTAAGACTACTGTAATAGTTTTTATTTAGGGCTATTTAAACATAAATGCCACCTCAGCCATTCCATAACTTAAACGTTACATAGCCCAAATCTTGCTAGCTTCAATGGGATTTTAAGTTCAGGCATGTAGGACTTGGCCAGTGTTAGAAAGACTCATGGTTAGAAAGACTCATGGTTAAAAATCTAATCAGAACGTTGGTTACACTAATATTATTGACATTTGAAAACCCACCACCACTCAAACCTCTTAACATTAGACTACAGCAGATTTGTAAATACAAAAGCAAGTTTTGCTAACCTTGATGAGTTCAAGGTCACACTGCCCCCTCTCATAAGCAACACAGGCCAAATGAGGGTCCCTTTTTTCACAGTATTTGCCTACAACACAGCTGTCATAGTATGGGTTCTCCCGGAGAAACCGCTCAGGATTATTGTTACTGTCAATGTAGATTTTAGCCAGAGCATTGTGGGTGGCAGGTTCTTCACAGCCTTCATGAATTCTAGATTCCAGCCATGGCAGCAGCAACTTAAGCCTTTTGGGGAAAATAAAGTTTGTTAAGTTTGCAGACCAAATGTTCTACTAAATATTTCAATTCGATTCCTTAACTTGAGAGGAGTGCCAGCAAACTTTAAGGTCAAGGTTGTTCCCCAGAAAGGCTGTGGTCCCACTATGTTGGTCTCCTGGATCAAATCATTCTAACCTTGACTGATCTACAAAATAACCCATTTAAGGTTTAAAATGCCCCTAAGCTTTTCATTAAGGGGCATGCATACAGACTATTTGGAGTTTCTCTAATCCTTTTAAAGGAAAAAAATCTTGATAGGAAGGACAGAGGGGAGAGACTGGAAGAAACCTAGTCATAGGTCAAATAAAGATAGTGCTTCTGGAGCCATAGGTGCCTCAAGAATGCTTGTTTAGAGTAAAGCCTAACTGATGAAAGCAGTTTCAGTGTACAGGTGATCTGTGCACAGTAAGTCCCTCAGAGGAGAGTTCACTTCAAAAATACTGTACTCATTTAACAAGTTGAGAGTAGGGCATATGGAACATGCTATACATCAACTGGGAAACTGCTGCAAAGTGTAATGTTAAAGCGGCTGTACTGGGAGAGGACAGAGTCAGAAAAGGATTGATAACTCAGGAAGCAGCAAGGGTAGATGAACACAAGTACATCAGAATAGTTTAAACCCAAAGTTTAAAATAGGGGAAGCTAGAGCAAAAACTTGAGGTGGTAGGAAAAAAAATTAAAAACAGTAGGAAAAGAGCTTTAGTAACTGACTTTTGGGTTTATGACTACTGTAACCTTCTGCTTAGGTTAAGGACAGAATTAACCAGACCACAGATATTTTCAGTAGGGTAAGATAGGAGCAAAATGAACTTTGCAAGTGTTAAGAATGGCAAGGTTTATTAGGAGGGAAGAGAGAGTCATTTACGCTTTAAGTTTAAATGATATAGTGAAAGGATACTTCATGGATTCCATACTTCTAGTATTGTAGAAGTAGTTTGTGGAAGTTTTCAGAACAAGATGTTTTGGCAAATTCTTGGTTGTGATTAGGATTTGAGCCTAGTGGACACTTAATTTTATAGCTAGTGCACCCTGTATGATTAGTTTCCTGGTCCCACTACTTACAGGGAAAAAAAATGCAGCAAAACCCAAGTCCTTCAGCTGACAGACAATGCTCTGCGATGGCTTTTTAGGCTTTCCTGTTAGAAAGATTTATTTCTTTTCTTCCCTGAATTTGAGGAAGTGGGAGAGAGGAACCACATTGTCTCAACATTTGCAATATCTTGCCCCTTCTCCATTCCTGTTCTATTAAGCTAGTCAAAGTCAGTGTGTTTTTACACATACATTCCCCTGATCGCTACATGTATACTTCCCTACAATTAGCTATTTGTTCTAGTCAAGCACGGTGTCAAAACTCAAGTCTAGACATGGGGTTGTTTCTTTTCTTCCATTACACAAGGCTGAGTGATCTTCCTGATCCCATATTCATGAATGGGACAAAAAAAGTGAGCTATTCATATTTGAAGACTGCCATATATGGTCTGAATTATCAATGAATGTGATACTGTGACACCCTCTTACATGCTGTACTCATGTGTCTGAAACTCCACATGCAGAATTCCTTTGCTTACTCAAGAGAACTGCCCCACATTAGTGAGCATTAATTCCTTTCATGATTTTTACTTTGATCTTTCAAAATGGGATTGACTTAGAGCAACGGATGCAACTCTGGTATACCAAGGGGGAAGCCTTTTACGGAACAAAATGGAATGACTGTTTATACCAAGTACCTTTATATTCTATTCTTACCTATTTCTTTTTTCCACTTCAGCCACCAGCTCATCAGTTGAGAACTGGCCTCGAACCACCATGATCAAGTTCTTAATAACATCTTCAGAACAATCCACATCAAGAAGCCCTCCAATCACTGCTGGTATACGGCTTGGATTCACCTAGAATAAACCACCATAAGAATGGTTTCTGGACTATGCCATAACTGGAGGGATTTTTAAAAAAAAACAATTCTTTAATGTTTAGAAATGTAGGAAACAGGACTACCTTAGTTAGTTGTCTGATGTGTTCTTAAGTGAGACTTAGCAAGTACAAGTTAATCCATCACTAAATTGGTGTTAACCAGCAATATTCTACAAAGCTCACCAAAAGACTAGTCATAGTTACCTGAGACTGACCCCTTCTCCCCCCAAAATCTAATCAGGAACATACTTTAGTGACAAACTTCCCCAGCCTAAGTGCTGGGGAAATAGCATTCCTTGGTTTCATATATCAGAGTGATCAATAAGCCTAAATTGCTATAGCAATAAGAGAGAGAGAGAGAGAGAATTAGGTAACACTTTGTTGAATTCTTGGTGTTTCATTCTGCTCTACTAGCCAATAAGAAGATTTTAAGTCTTATGGGGCTGAACCACTTCTGAACTACAGAGCCTCAGGTAAACCAAAGCTCCCACTATACAGGCTGGACCCTTTCTCGGAGTTTATTCTTTAGAAGAGATTGTATTTTACCTTCTGAACATAGATCTCTATGTACTTCTGCAGGTTGTTGCGGTATAAGTAGAGAACCAGGTCATGAACAAAGTCAAATCTATCACAAACAATGATCAGAGGAAGCTGGTCTGTGAGCTTGGCCTCCTGTATGTTTGGGGGGAGGGAAATGGAAAGGAGTTGAAAAGGAAGAAAAACAAAAAAACCCAAACACATAAGTCACTATCTTTACAAATTATGCGGGGATGTGAGCAGAGAGCCTTAACTGTTTTCCTAATTTAGGACCAGCAAAAGGCTACCATTCAGAAAAATGCTGACTCTAAATTGACTGCAGTCTGATCCTTTGATACAATTAAAGAGCCCATCATAGACAGCCAAATGAGGTGCATTTCTACTTTAAAGGGCAAGGGTTTTTTTGGTTTTTAAAGTAAAGTAGTTACTAGCAAATCCTGGATGCACTTAGATATCTACCTTTAGGAGGTCTTGGCTGAGAGGGGATGCTCAGCACTTTGAGAGTCAGGCCCCTTAAAAGGAGTCTCAAGTTGGACACCCAGAATCACTTAAAACAGGGTTAAGAATCTGGAAGCCAAAAGTTCAAGCAAGAAAGAACATGCACCTGGGCCAAGCTGCATAAATGTCACTTCCCCCCCCCCTCATAGAATGGCCAGTAAAAAGCCTGATTTGATTAATAAGGTGAGTCAGTGGAAGTAAGTTCCCCCTGAAACTTGGGCAAGCATAACACAACAAACATCCTTGAGTTCTGCTAAAAAGGATCTGGGGGTTAAAGCAGATCACAAATTGAATATGAGCTACCTTGATGCAATTGCAAAAAAACTACAAACGCCATTCTTGGGTGTAATGACAGGAGAGCGGCATGTAAGACATGGAGAGAGTTGTCCTGCTATACTTGGCACTGGTGAAGCCTGGGCTGGAAGATCATGCCCAAAATTGGACAGTGAACTTTAGGAAAGGTGGACAAATCCAAGAATGTCCAGGGGCAAGCAAAAAATATAGTCAGGAGGTCTAGAAGATCTGGACTTCTGAGGAAAGTTTACTTTTCTACTATTACTATTCTAGCCAACAGTCAGGAAAATTACCTTGAGAAAATTCTTCACTCGTTCAGGGTTATAGCAGTTACTTTCACGGCAGATCCTTTCTACCTCCTTAATTTGACCCGTCTTGCAGGCTGCCTGGATATATTTGAAGTGGACATCTGGATCCTGGCTGAAGTTCACAATAGAACCCAGGAAATAAAACAATCCTAGAAAGAAGCAGAGGTTACCTATTTATAGCTATGAAGATTTAGAGTTCAACTCATCACCTAGATAAGGAGTTGTATGCTTTGATAATTTAGTCTGAATAAGGAAGAAAGCCACTGATAAGTGGTGAGACAGGACAGGTGAATTTAAATAGTCCCACAATAGTCTCAAAGGAAAGCTGCCAACAGGAATACTCAGACTGTCAGCTATGCATATGGTTGCCTTCCTCCACCCAGATATGTACATCTCCAGGAGAGCATCATAATAACTAGGTGTCTTCTGCAAAACAGTTGCAAGCACCAGACTACAGTAAACCTAATGCTTGGTTCAAACTGAAAGACTGAGTACTAGTAAGCCAGTCAACTCTCCTTCCATCTCAAAACAGATTGAAAGCAAGTACCTTCCTCAGAACATAAGGGCACCTCACCTTCATAACTTTTAAAAGATTCAAAAAGCTCCACGAGAGACTGGGTGCCAAGCTGCTCATGGTATTTAGAAGCTACTTGCACACAGAGCTGTAGGTTTTGTCGGATGTTGGCCGATAGCATAGCACGCAGACATTCCACAGAGTCCTCAACTGACAGAGAGCCAAAGAAGTTTACAAGCCACTAAGAACAAAAGTTAAAATGGTTTTAGAAGTTGTATACACCTCGCTGAACAGCAGAGGAAGTAGTAATTATATTCTGCATGGATGGCAGGTGGAAACATATGTACTTGTCTCAGATGTGCCACAGGAGGGAGTGTGTACTTGGAAGAATTCGGGAATGACAATAGTGCTGTTTAACCCTCCTAAAAATTAAGGATAGCAACAAGGAGTCTGCTACACATGACCCCATAGTTCATTAAGTCAAATATTCTGTTTTGAACACCCATGTGATTTTGTTGTGGGCAAGAATTAGTTTCACCAGGTAGGCGTTTTTGCTGCCAAGAGATTGATTTCAGGTTTAGAATGGCTACTGGCAATGTAGACTGAGTTTAATCATTCAAAGTTTTCCTCAAGTTAATTACAGATGTATGGCTGAACACCTACTGGCCAGTCACTGAAGCTTCTCATTTGAGCTCGTCTAGGGCAGTGACTCCCAACCTTTCCAGACTACTGTGCCCCTTTCAGGAGTCTGATTTGTCTTGCACACCCCAAGTTTCACCTCACTTAAAAGCTACTTGCTTAACACCCCTCCCCCGCAAATCAGACAAAAAAAATATAGAAGTGTCACAGCACACTATTACTGAAAAATTGCTTACCTTCTCATTTTTACCATATTATAATAAATCAATTGGAATGTAAATATTGTACTTACATTTCAGTGTATAGTATATAGAGCAGTATAAACAAGCCATTGTCTGTATGAAATTTTAGTTTGTACTGACATTGCTATTGCTTTTTGTGTAGCCTGTTGTAATACTAGGCAAATATCTAGATGAGTTGCTGTACCCTGTGGAAGACCTCTGTATCTCCAGGGATACATGTACCCCTGGTTGAGAACCATGGGTCTAGGGGATTTCATTACATGTGCTTGCAATGTTTAATGTATTACTTTAAGCTTTCCCGCTGAAAAGGGAATTAGTTTATGGATAGGTAAGTGACAGCAGGACAAATTTAGTTACATTTAACCCACAAAGTAAAATTCAGCTGAAACTAGTCTTACCTCAGGGTTTAAGAGGTGAGTGTGAACTACAGCTCGCTTTATATCATAGAGATCAGTGTAGTGCTCCAATGCTCTCTGTAGCAAGCCAGCCTTTTCACATAACTGGGCAATATGAGCACGATCATAGAGTGTAAACATCTGGTTTCCAAGGATGGCATCTGCAACCTAAGAGGATATGATTTGTTGTTGAACTTTAAGCTTCCAGTTTCCATCCACAATCAAGATGTAATGTTATCATGCAAGGAAACTACATAAAAGGAGAGTTTCCGGGAAACAGATCACATAGAGTAACCATTAAAGTCAGTTACACTGCACTTCTACAGATGTTCATTCTAAAATATCACTTTACAACACCCTTACAATAGGTATCTGCACATCCACCCTTTCACTCTCCACAGTAATGCTTTGTTTCAACTATGCCTATAGCTGGAGACTGCTACCATCAAAAGCATTGTTTTCTAAATGGCTGGAGTTCTTGAAAAAACAAGCAAATTTTTAGAAGGGGTGAAGGAGACTTATTTTAAGGAGACTAGATTGAGGAATCTTACCTGTGGTGCATGAATCAGATTCATTTCCAACAGACGTGTCTGAAGGTGTCCTTCAGCAGGGCGATTATTCTTCAAAGCATCCAACAAGAAGGAAGTGCACTGCTGAATGAGACTGTTCTCCATGAATACATCTACGATCTGAAGTGGACAGTAATCAAATCAGTCATTCACCCACATAAGTTCTTATACAATTTGAGTATAAGTCAGGAGTATTGCAGCTGATCCTCAAAGGAGCCATCTCACAACATATGCAGCACCTCTATGTAAACAACTAGTTGTTAAAGCTTCCAGCATTGTACTACAGTAGTTGTTTCTACTTACATTTTACCTTTTGAGAGTGTTCTCAAACTGACTTCCCTTAAAATGTTTTTATTCACTGTATCAGGGAGAGTTCAGACTTGTACTTTTAGTGTCTGAATTTGATGACAGAGGTCATTTTGGCTGATGTGTCAAACAAGTATTTGGTAACCACTAAGTGAAGCAAGTTTGATAGATTTATGTACAAGTTATAGTATTCTACTTCATAAGTAGAAGGCTATTTCCCCAAAGAAAAAAGGATTTCAATATCAAGTGCCCATTTGTTTTACAATAAAAACCTCAAAAAGCTATAATCTAGATCTGTCTCTGGGGACTAGTTTACCTACTGAATGGAAGTCTTCCCCCCTTCTCCCCCACAATTAGGGCTAACAGCAGCAGCCTTCTTGACTCTGAAGCTTGGCAATCTCCATCAATCAGCATAACAAACTTGCAATGTAGGAGGTGCTGTTCTCCTTGTGAAAGCCAAGAAGATCTGCAGAACTCTAGCTTCAGAATTGGCTGGAGATTAACAGCATGCCAGATTACTAGAAATACTGTATGGCCATAGGCCAGCCCAAT